GTTAAAAATTGACAAAATCACCATCAGTCAAATGCAAAAAGCCGCACTGCTTGGATCTGCATGCATATTACGAATTATAACATCCTAGGCCCCTGGGTGGGGCCCGACTAGTAACCAATGCCAAATCCGGCAAAACAACTGGCCGCTGTGATACAATTGTATAATAATAATAACAATAATATTTTTTTAAGTTCATACAGATCCAGCCTGCTATTGTACACAAAGCGATGTGTGCCTTCTGTTGATCTGAGGTGCCGAGTGCAATTTGCTGAGGGGCTTTTGAAGAGCAGAGGAATTCCAAATAAGGGATTTTCCCTTTGTGTGTAGCAAAGATATGGGTAGTCCTCAACTTACGACCACCATTGAGCCCAAAATTTTGGTTGCTAAGTGAGACACGTGCTAAGTGAATTTTGCCCCATTTTTTATGGCCTTCCTTGCCACACCAGTTAAGCGAATGCCTGCAGGTGTTAAATTAGTGACACGGTTGTTAAGTGTCCCTGTCTTCCCCCTTGACTTTGCTTACCAAAAGGGGACTCACGCAACCTTAGGACACAGTGACGGTCGTTAAGTCAGTTGCCAAGCGTCTGGATTTTGATCGCCCGACCATGGGGGGGTTGCAGGGGTCATAAGTGTGAAGAACGGTCATAAGCTACTTTTTTTTCAATGCCGTCGTAAGTTTGAACAGTCACTAAGTGAGGACTGCCTGTATCCGGCACCAAACTTAATACCTAACTTGTCTCTGCCTCTGATGCCACGAAGAAGGAAAATGCTTTGATAATTTTGATGGGCTGGCTGCTGAAATAAAGCAAGTTTAGCTATGGCACACCCTTGAAAGTAAATCAGGAAGACTGTAATTGTGTGTTTGTGTGTGTGTGTGTGTGGGGGGGGGTGTCTATTTGGCAAGTACAAAGAATGCTTATCCATGGGAAATATGCATGTGTTAAGCTTGCAGCAATTATGGGTAGTTAGAAAGTTGCTAAAAGTACCAAGGATTAGACAACTTGAAGACCTGGGCCAAAAGTTAGGAATGGAGATGGTCTTCAGCCGAGGTGGCGCAGTGGTTAGGGTGCAGCACTGCAGGCCACTTCAGCTGACTGTTATCTGCAGTTCGGCGGTTCAAATCTCACCGGCTCAAGG